TCACACCTTCCGACGATCAGGTTGAATACTTTACACTAAAACTGCAAGGAGCCGATTCCTGTAGCTGATCCTAAGATACACCTAGTCTAGCCTGTCCTAGCCTAAAGAAGCAAGAGATTAGCAGAGTGTGAGATCGGTAGTTTGGATTCTCTAAAGCCTTGCAGATTTGCCTGAATAATATGCAATCACCCAGTGTGATGGCTTCAGTGGCGGGATAAACAACCACCTCAAGGTTGCACTTATCTTGATTTGCAGCAGACTCAGGGAGTAGATTGCCTAATCAATCAGCAGGGTGGTGAAATGTGAGACTGTGGGGAGATTTCACACACCGTGCTCTCGTATGTGGAAAGAGTCATTGATAAATGAAGACGGAAGAAGATAGAGTGAACCTTGAAGTTCTCCACCCCTTTTCACGAGCTAGATGTAGTCAAGTCTCTGTCCCGCTACATGGCAGACAAAGAGATCCTTCACTTTATTCAGATAAGAACTTTAGAAGGAGCAAATTCTGCCAACACGCTAAATCAAAATATGCACAGTGCTCGATGGCAATAATACTATTTCACCTTGGCATTCCCTAACTAGCCTCAATGCAGGTATGACCAACCAGATGGCGTGACATAGCTCATTGTCACTCCAACCTCCGTTAGCAGTTCTGTTAAGAGTTGGTGAAACTCCTATAGAGAAGCAGTTTCTTTATCCCTTCACCCCATGTCAGGGAGGATGACCAGGCTCTAACCCTTCCTGGTCTACATGATTGCGCAACTCATCAGCACTTCTCGCTGGATTTCCGGGTGATAAAGATTAGAAAATTTTATATCAAAGGTGAAAGGGCAGTTTCACGGGTAGTAGGTAAGAAATAATGACAAAGAAGCATCTATACGGTGTAGGAATGGACAGCTAAAGAGGGCTTGTCAGTGGCTATTGCCATTTCTCTTAGTCCTGACGAGTTGTTCAATGCCTCCTTCGGTATCCGTGCCAGTCTTTCCATCTCCAACTGCATCTGTCTGGTGACATTGAAGGAGCCTCACCGAAACGTGAATAAGTCAATTGGAGAGATCATCCGTCAGACTAATTGAAAATAACTTGACCACCATAAAATATATCAAATGCTATTGAGTAGATGCTATCTCCCGAGATAGCACAAAACATCACACTATTTTCTCTGGTCTCCTCATGAACCCGCAGAATCCGACGCTAGTAAGACAACTCTGACATTGTCGACTTATATTTACTCATATTCACGATAAACACGCTTTACCCTAATAGGAACCTATAGAACCTTTATCTGTCATTTTTTATCCAGAAATCCTTTGCTACTAAAATGATATTAGCTGGAGCATATAATGACAAAGTTGTAATAAAATGCAAATTATACAAGAAATCAAAGCACAATGAGATTGAAGGGGAGCTGGATTGAAACTAAACCACAAACTACCCATCACAGCTGGTACTGCACTGAACGCTGAGGTGGGGACTGTGCCGATTCTCAAACTCACTACTGCTGCTTTGCAAATTCGGATATTTCATGTCTCGGAGTTTCTTTAGTATTGTATGCCCTTTTACTACCTTTAATCAGCCTTTAATGCCATCTCTCACCCAAGGTAATTGACGATAAGAGTATCTGCAGCCTCTTGTCATTAGTAGGCATCAAAGCTGCTGAAGCAGAAAGAGCAGGCACTTTCAGTTCATTTTGCCATTGTGGTAGAGCAGCTCAGAAGTCGATGCTGCTAGCAGAAAAGTTAGATTATAGATAGGTTAGGACTCTCACGATTGATTCGGTTATAACGTAAGCCACTGATTTTGCTGACGGGGAGTTACCGTGGCAGCAGGTGGCCCGAATTTTCTCAAGGTCACCGACTAGATAATCAGTTGATTAGCTCATTAGAGCAGACGTCTTCGTTGGTTGACAACTTGTGTACGAATAAACACGGAGCTGTAACTAGCTGGGCAGTGGAGGCTGTCAGATCCTGCATCTGGGCCGGTGTCACTTGGTCAGCTCAGTTGCGCGTGCTTGTGATAACTGGTTGACCATGGTCCTCGAGTCGCACTTCTGGTGCAGCTAACACCGTCCCAGCCAATCAGAAGGGGCTGTTCCCAGGATGTAAAGAATTGAAGAACTGAAAGAGAGCGCTTTTCTGGATCCACAGATTTCCATGGAGAGCTTAAGAAAAAAATATGCAATGTGCCATGCCATGTTCTGTCTAGGATGTAGCTCGCCCCAATTTCATGAAAATTTGTAGTGACTTGTTTATGTGCCTCGTTATGGACCATGGACGTGCGTCAGGCGTTTGAGCTTAAATGGGTTGGCAGGCTTTAAAATTTCTTACAGCAGTAGTGTACAGCGTTTAAAAGAGGTGCAGCAGAAGAATTCGCTATCTAGATAAGAAAAGGTGTCATCGTGAAATGGGTGGCATGAAAAATTTCCGGTAATGCCAAGCCTAGATGCTAACTCAGGAACTCTTCCTCTACGACCATCCTCGAGGTCTGCTCCACGAGATCGTGTGCGCAACTGGGATGTATTGGCATTGATGCAACCTTACTTAATTGTGATTTGACGGTGTTACGCACATTCAATTGGACGTGGCTTCAAACACCCACCTTTATCCTGATTAATGTATCTAAAGGTCGTTTTCTAATTTGTGCGAATACAAGTCTAATAGAGGCTGATTATAGGTTAATATGCATAATTTTTTGGAATTTTAATTAGTGGATGAAGCTTTGAAGGGAAGGTGGATCTGAAATTAACGTGTAATGCGCCTTGTGGAGGAAGAACTTGTTTTCCAGCCTGCCCCCGGTGGATACCAAGAACACAACCTCATTTTACGCACAAAATAAAGAAAAGCCTAAACCAAAATAATGTACTGCTTTACACGCTCAATAGTAAATCATTGGAAAAGATCAAATGAATCCTCTTTGGAACGAGATAATTTGAGTAATATTTAGTGTCTGATTTGTTTTAGTAATTAGAGTTGGGATTTATAGAAGCTGGAAATAAGTTGAAGAGATCAGAAAAAGGAGAATAAAACGAGGCGAAATTTAGTGAACTCTTAATGCTCTCCCGTAAACAATAAAAACTGCTTTATTATTGTTGCAGCGATGTGTTGTAGACGGAATGCTTTTGACTCCGGTACGCATGATTATGAGAAATGGAAATGAGAGAACGGTAGCCAATATGTGTTCCAAGTAAGTGCCAAAAAGAATGGTAAAGTCGACCTCTCCTATAACCGATTCACAGCTCCAGAAGGCAACGCCAGAGATAATCGGCATTTTTAAGAAAAGTCTGAGTTTTAAACAAACTATTAGTAAAAGAAATTTGTTGCTTTTTGCGTAGATTTCGGCGTCAGCATCAGTGGTGGTTTGTCCAACGCTTTATCAGGAAATGGACTCTCAAATTCCGCTAGCAACCTGCTCGCTAAGGGTCTATCCTCTCGTCAACCCCTCACGGTCAGTAAAGGAGGGAATTCAAACACCGGTCTGACCCACTGGTTATTTTGGAGCTCCTACCTATCAGCAGAATTATTAACTCATTCTCCAGCTCACCAGACTCTCGGCGAACTTAAAACCCCATTTGTTGATGTTAGGGGCGTAAAGTATCATAGGCACTGACGGGTTGAAGCCAGAATGCTCATGACGCCCATCTGGCCGTCAATGCTAAATAAAGACCGAATAGAAAAATAATAGCCGACACATATAAGATGGTCCTCCTACGCAGTGAAGTGTGTTTTAAAGGGGGGTGCCTAAGGAAATAGTGGTGTTGACCTCTGGAATAAAGGATCGGCAGCTACAAGAGATGACGCCAGAAAATAGGGTGAGACAGGTATAGCACGAATGCGAGCAAACAAAAATTGGAACTGATAGGTTTGTCTTGATCTTTTCCTCTTCAATGGCGGTCAAGGCGGAAGTAGCGAAAACTATGTGGTTGTTTGGTGTTATCTCAGAAGGTACCATCTGATCAGCCTCATATGTCATGTATTTTTAGAGGTTAAGATATACTTGCCTCCAGGAGAATCAGGAAGTGACACGGAGTAGTAGTATCGATGAGTGGAGAGTGTGTTGGGTATTTTGTTTCCGCGTGGGTTCAAAAACTGCCCCTTTAGGAATCCTTAACTAAATAAAATAAAGGATCTCATGGTGAGCCAAAAGGCTGGACAAGCACAAATGCCTGTCTACGTATGACTGATGATGATGGCGGAGGACCTCAAGGGCCACCGTATTACCTTCCATCACCCTATTTTTGGTGACTCATGGCTAGCAGAGAAGAGCTGTGTCTCCACTGCAGTCTCACGCTTCACCCTTCTGTTGGTTGATTAGGCAATCATCTCACAGAGCCGTCGATCGGTCAATCACCCTGCTGCACCTCTTGATGTGTACAACGATGATGTGGTGGTTTACCACAGCACTAAAGTCAACACATTGAGTCACTGAACATTCGACAGACGATACATCAGGTTTTTTGAAAATTTCACCCACTAAGCACGCCGTGAGTGAGAAAACTGTGAAATTTGTACGCAAAGGAATTTAAACGTTTGGCAGTCGATCCAACGCCTGCAAAGAAATGCAGTTTATTGGTTGCTTCCACTATGGCTACCCTTCAATCACTTTATGCTTTCGTTGCTTGTCCATTTCGCATTTTTCATATACTCTGCTCTTGACTACCCCTATTTCTCTACAATTATTTCGTTCCTGATAATTTTGTAAATACGACTTCACTTTCGGTATAATATCACCTGATCTTTATCCACTAAAACTCGATGGAAAGTGTTGATTAACCACAAAATCGAGCTGACTAGTGTAGCTGGAGCCAGGTCATTCGCAATGGTTCTCATTCGACTGTCTGAAGCAAAGCGAAAGGGTCTAGGAGTTTTCACAGTATCTTACCAACATTGATCGGGGGTTGGATTGGCAATGAAGTAAGTCGCACTATCTAGTTAGTCATACCTGAGTTGAAGCTAATCAGGGGGCGATAACGGTGTAGTAATATCGTAGATTGAGAGCTTGTGTTGGTATTTTATTCTGATGTGGAACAATTCCTAATTAAACAAGTCGAACGGTGAGTGCTTTCTCTCTACATTCCCAAGTTTCGCCTTCTTGCAAACTGATTAGGCAATCTCCTCTTAGAGCTGTCAATCCGTTAATCACCCTGCTGCACCTCGCGATGAGTGGGACCTTGAGGTTGTTGTTTTCGACGCCATTGAAGTCATCTCAGTAGGTTATTGCACAGTGATAAAGCAGTTTTACTAGATTCTTTAAAATCTTAGCAACTATTCTCCCATTTGGCTGCTTCCACTGCCTGAGATTAGGCTAGGTGCTTCTTGAAAACACCTGCTTTCTCTAGTTTAGCGTTCTAAAATGAGATAAGCTTGCGGTTCTTATGCGGATATTTAGTCCTTGTAGTGGAAACACATTAACTTACCGATTGGAAAGCATGTGATTCATCAGCAAGAAGTGGCAAATTTCAGACTAGGTGTGAATGTTACCTCTGCCGCACATTGAGTAATCAGTTGAGCCGCCTAAATTTATTTGAGGCAGAGCACGTTAATCTCTCCTCTTCCAAGGCGTTCCCCAACTCCAATCTGATGGACAGTAATTCCATAGTGTGAAGTGATTGCCTTGCGTCATTTTGTCCTTTGCGTATTAATAATGCCACTTCTGTGCGTGCCTGTAACCCCACTAGATGTAATAGAGGAGCAAGAGGCAAAAGGAAACTCACAATCACCCTTTTCTAAGGCTCATCTTTTTCAGTAATGATGGGAATATACATCAATAAAATGTGAACAATGACTCAAAACAACATCATAAAATGGCTATAGACATGTATTAAAATCTCTTAGAAGCGTCACACGTAAATGCAAAAGCTTAGCCTCATTTCATGGTCTTTCTTGACCATGAAAATATAGTCGCATCTCAGATCCCACATGCTGTTGTAGCAGCAACTCCACAAGCCACATAATTGCTGCATCAGCAAGTACGCGTAAGTTGGCTTTGTATTATTACATGATTGTTGAAACAGTTGAGCATACGGGAAAGGTAATTGTATTTCATCTGTGCCTTTCTGTTCTCTACTGCACCTGGTGGGGATGGGGGCAAACCCTCACTGCGTGTCTGCAGCTTCTAAGGACTAGGTAAGCTTAGCGGTGGGAGACAGGAATCCACCACTTCCAGCTAGGATCATAGACACGAGCGCCAGAAGCGTGGCAAGCTATACTACTGAATTAGTGTTTATCGAATCAAGGTGGGACAAAGTCAAGTGAAGTTATGGGGTATGCTGGGACTGGGGAAGAATGTGTCGTGTCTCAAATGACTTCGGGCAACTCCAGCGAACAACCCTACTAGAGTGAGGATGACCAGATACACTGCAACGGCCACTGTCATGATCGAGATTAAGGAAGACCAAGTCTACTGGTAAAAGACAGTAGTCGTGCCGAAGATAGCCGCACACACAACAGTAAGGTGACAGGGGATTTTCAAGACATGAAGTATCTGGATTCGCAAAGCGGTAGTCAGTATGAGAATTGGCATGATTTTGATCTCTTGTCTATACTAGTTTAAAGACGCGAAGTAGATCACAATCCACACAATCTCAGTTGTATCCTCGCAACCCACACAGCCTACGGGAAGAGTTGAAAAGCAATCCACAACGCTTTGGAAAGGCGATTTCAAGGTCGCAGTCAAATAACAGTTATAGAATAGAAAGCTGTTTGCTGCAAAGTTTGAGGGTAAAAGCGAGTTATGACGAATAAAACACTAGAGTAATGGAATGCGGGGTGTCCTCTGGGATTTGCCTTTACGCCACTTTCTCAGCGGGCATATTTTGGCCTACGCTTCAGTAGCTCATTTACAAGTGGCACCAGGTAAGGTGATTGCTATAGCTCAACAGCACCACATGGAAGTGCTGGGAATTTCATTGAGGAGGTCATATTAACAAGTTTAAGTGTGAACGAGGGCGCAGTTGATATGTCACTCGATCCTCAACAAAGGAACTCCTGCCTGCTCAATTGCCTGCCGAGACAAACTTTAAGTGCAGTGACAAATCACTGTCGTATAACTAGCACCTGAGTTTAGAAGTTGGGTTCAGGTCATGTAAATATGAGAATGAGCAAAATATCCTGCTACTGATGCCACTACCGCTTAAAAGTGCCAAATTAGCCGGTGGGTCAGTCGAACGTTTTAACTGCCTTGTTTGCTGACTGCCCAGCTTGTTTTCTCACAGTCACCTCTGAGATGAGGATAGGTAAAATCTAGAGCTTTGATTGTACATCAAGCGTGCCATTGAAGAGAGGAAACCTCTACTACTAGCAAGGTCTTTGAATCTCCCCAAACTTTTCCTAATCTCATCACCACACACTACCACCCCTCCTTCCTGCAGACTATCGCAAGGAGGATTGAGATGAAGTGTACTGCTTTGACTTTTGTCTGGCATTTGGACCTCCCTTGAGAGGTTCCCCAACTCCTTAGCTTAGATAGGCTGTATCATCTCGAATGAGTATGAACTCCAACGTGGTATCTCAATGGCAGTGTTAGGGATGAGATGCCACTTAGATCCACCGGTATGCCTGTGCAGAGCCAGTTACAGTGTAGAGGGAGTAGGGGATTTGCACTGCTCCAAGGATCAGCTGGATGGTAGATGTGACTATTCCTTATCTCACTTACGTGGACTCAGTGCTCCTCTATCATCTCTCTCCGTTAGGCTTCGGTTATACTGTTCAGGAGTGGGAGGTTTTGTCACTAAGAGATTCTGAAACACTTTGTGTTCTCACAAAACAGTGTTTACTTCCCTCATTCACCCCAAAACTCACCGAGTGATATGCGTTACAAGCGTTCTGTGAGAGAGTCGCCTTCTGCTGCCCAAAGTTAAGGAGAACAGAGCGGCAATACTACTGTGCAGACAGTCAGCCTTGAGAGTAGGTGTGCGACGTAAAGAAAGAGTAGTGGCTATAGATATACCGGGAGAACCGGTAAGCTTGACGAAACTATTTTAATCTCACTAGTTATGCATTTATCCCACTATCCATTAATTCATCTATCTATTCATTCATCCATCCCATAATTCACATATCTATCCACCCATTCCGCATACATCACCCTATTAATCCACCCTTCTACATGATCACCTACCTTTAAACCTCCCTCAAGGTCCTTTTCAACTATCTCTGAGTATATACTCTCCCGTCTTCCTACCCATCTACCTACCTACCAATTGCCTACTTACCATTACAATGACCCATTCCCTCATTTATCAATACCAAAAGGCATTAGATCAGGCACCTTAGTCTGTAGTCGCCCAGTCTTTACAAGCAAGACCATGCCTGGCTTCAACTAAGAGTCCTCATAATTTCACGTAGATGCCCTCAACAAATGTGTCCACAACTAGAGAGACATGGCAGCAAAAACATCTCGGCATCTATGATACATAAGTGGCTGCCACCTCAATGGTGACTTAAATCGTGTGCTTTGCTAAATTTACACAAGGCTGGCAGATCAAAGGACAGGAGACAAAATGACTCAGGTAGGAAGCAAGTGACACATGACTGACTACTTTCATTCAAATGATTGTGCGACCTAGGGAAGAAGCAAAAGTGTAAAATAACACCCCAAAATTTACATGAATTTGACCAAATCAGAGGGCATGCTGACTTGTGAGAAGAGTCGTCCATCAAGACGACGAATGGAGACTATGCTTCAGTGTCTGATCGTTAGATCGTTGATGAGACTAACCGACACAGCAACCGTGAGTGCAATTGCAGAGGCTGCATTAATAGGCGACTACATTTTTCTCATGTCCGGATAGTAGGTGATCCCAGTGAAGGAGAGGACTGTGGAGATGACTGCAAATACACAGGCTGCGATTCTACTGCAAGAGTTGTCACATACTAGCAGGATGCTGAGAACAAAGCTATCAATGAGAACAACCAGACCGGCTGTTAAGAGGAGACCACCAGTCACCTTGGATTCGGGGTAGCGATGACACTTGGCACTTAAAATTCTGTCCCCACAGTTCCAGTTACCATATCCAGTGACGAAGAAGAAGAGGAACGCTGCCACGAATGCAAAGATTAAACACATCACCTTCCAAGCCATAACTTACATGTCCTCCTCCTCCTTGTACTTTTTCTCCTTCCTTTATTCCTCCCTTTATATCCTCCCATCTGGGTCAAGGCCATTCCACAGCACGTGCCTCAGACGACTATAACTGCGAATACTACCGCTTTCCTGCATCTGAAGCTAAAGAGGGAGAGGGGGGGGTTCCACCTCACAAGAGCATCCAGTAAACACCAGAGGAGTCTTTTCACCACTGCGGTTTAGGCAATCCCTATGGGTACACGTTATCAATGGGGGCTGTTGTAGGAACACTCAAAAGCACCGCCTTCTCGGGAATAAAGCAACCCACTAATCTAGACTGATTTTAGGGCCCCATGTAATCCTAATTAGGCTCGATATGGATCGAGTTACTTTTATTTATGTAGTTTGTGAAGTGCTAATTAAATGAAGAGTCTTCTTACGGTCTACCTCCCTTTCCCACACTTCTCCCTTCTGTAGTATGTTCAAGTTTTGGGTGTTTTTTCTACCCTCCGACCGCATTAAAAGGCATTTTTAAAGGAAACAAAGCAGATCCCTCTCTACACTTTCCACCGATGACGCAAACTGGGAGTAGCGTTGGCCGTGAAAATAAGACAGGATCTTAGGCTTTACAAGGTGATGTGTTAGTAACACCGCTTGCTGAAGTTAGCCACACGCACAACAGCAATGCCATTGGCTGCATCAGTTCTTACCTTCTTGGTCGCCATGATAAGAGCCATGACAACAGCACCAAGAAGGCTGGTTAAGCCCGATGGTAGGATGGCAAGGCCACTTGATGGCAGACATACTTTCTTGTGTATTCATTAGTAAGAACGTGGCCACAATCGCATGATTTTATCTTAGAAACTTAACACGTCCCAATGTTAAGGACAAAATCCACACGGGAACGCCAAGATTTTCTTACTATCAGTGTGAAGAGACGCCTAGCCTAACCTCTGACAAAGAGATGGCAGAAGAAGGAGAGATAGATTGTCAGATGTTTTGCGAAACCCGTAAAATTGTCTGACTAATATGCAACTGCCTGATGTGATTGGGGTAGAGGTGTTGAAAACCACCACATCAGGTTGGCACACATCACGAGTTTCAGAAATGTGATTAACAAATCGACATCTTTCACATGAGAGATCTTAATGAGTACGTAGAAAGGTGAAATGTAGCTCACCTCAAGCCCACTAAAAGTAATGAGTTGAGAATCGCAGAAGGAGTAGACGCTAATCCTACGTCAGAACAAAACGTCTTAACGCGCTCTTTAACCCACTATACTACTACCTTCCATCAATCGCTCATCAGCCTTAACTCAAGACTAACTAGTCAGAGAGCGTGACATACCTCATAGCCACTCCAACTTCTACGCATGGAGTTGTCAGGGTGCGGTGGCACCTCCTGGAAAGAGGCGCTTTCATACCCCCTCACCCCCCGTCCGCCAGTCAGATGCGAATTAGGGAGGATAACCAGACTCCCACTCATCCTCCAATTTGGCACGATTCCAAGGCACATCGGCACTTCGTCTCAAATTCCCGGTTAATAAGGCCTAGGCACTACTATGGTGAAAGTAAAATAGCAGTTTTGGAGGTAGCAGGAGAGAACTACTGCCAGAGAAGCACCATTGCGGGGCAAGGATGGAGAGGTTAAGAGGAATTGACAGTGGTTATTGCCTTTTCTCTCAGTCCTGGCGATACCCATGCCAGTCATTTTAACTCATACTACATCTCCCAGACTGATATTGAGGCTTCAGCACCGAAAGCTGTGCAAGTAAATTCGATGAAACTATACATCGGACAGATTGAAAATGGGTTAATGACCAAAAATATGAAATAAATGACATTGGGTGAATAATATCTTCCTGATTAACAATAAATAGCCACTTTTTTATTTCCCATTGTCATGACTGCAGTAGAAGAGAAAACAATGCAAACAGCATTTAGCTGCAGCATTTTGTTTGTCCTTATTCACGCTAGGCATGCTTCACTCAGAGGGGGAAAAAAGAGTACTTTTATGTGTACCGTTTCCAACCACAAATTCTGGGCTACTGAATGGCAATTTGAAGTGATGTTGAGTGACATAGTTGGAATAAAATGCAACAAGAGTGGAAAATGAAGGCACAAAGCGATGTAGGAGGCGTCAAATTAAAAGGAACTAACTAACTGCTTCTCTTGCCAAGCCTTTGTTCAAGCAATGAGGCAGGAGTACCGTTGGGAGTTTGACAAGCGAACGTTTCCCTACTGAGCAGTTGTTGAGGAAGTTCGCAAGAGCATTTTTTTAATGAATTGCTTGACAAGCCATCACCGTGTGGACTTAATTTGTATCTTATTCGCTGGTGACATCTCTTCGAGCTGTGATTGGGTTTGTCTGCAGGTCAATCCTACTTTTGCTTAGGCACCCACTTGCCAATCATGCTTTATGGAGTGGGAGGATCATCTTAAGCATATCGGCTATCATTCCTCCACTTTGTCTTCAGCCATTTTAAATCAAGAGAAAAATGCACAAATGCAATTATTAAAACCATTCAAGCACAGCGGAGAATCGTTTTAATAATAAAATTAGACGACACGTTCCAACAAGTGGACCAATTTGCCCAAATGTGATAAAGCTGTGCTCGCAGCAACCGCTCCGCGCGCGCAGGTACGCCACCGTCTACTCGCCGTGTTTAAATGTACAGATGGAAGTGGTGGTGGGTGACGAGGTTAATAAAATCTGGTAAACGAGGTAATCACGTTGTCAATTTGTGTGATTTAAAGTAGTTTTCCGAAGGCGGGGGTTCTCCCTACTGCCGCATTTGATGCGCTAATGTAGGTTAAGACTTTGTCCACTTCCATGTCACAGCCGGCTGAAAAAAGTCAGTGTAGGAGAAAATTAAAACGCTCGTCTGACGCGCTGGTTAATTTTGCACTCCTAGGTAGCAGCAGCAGCAGGATTGTTTACTCACTCTTGCTTTTACTAGCCCCTCTCCAAACATTTAATCTCAGATTTGAGTAATGCGAGAGTGGCATGACGTGGGCGCGTTGATCTTGGATGCTAAGGCAACCGTGTGGTCAGAAATTCTTTCTGCTGACGATTAAGTAGTATATCAACTACGTGCATGTTCACACTTAAGGCACATTGAGGTTGCCCCTTTGACTAGTCTGCCATTACTTTAATCTGGAGTTTTGAATAACAAAAATTGCTTAATTTAAAACCGCTTGTACATGCTGTGTTGAAACGCAAGTCACAATGAGTGTATCTTAACAGTGGTAAATAAGCTCAGTGGACAGTCCCTTTTGTCATTATTCTTGTGATTTTTGTTTTGTCAAATGCTGCTTTCACCTTGAAACTGTACATTTGGTGGCTTATTCATCAAGAAGGCGCTTTTGATTCCACCTTTAAATTGCGCTTCGAAAGTGCAGAGCGCTGTATTCCAACCCTTCTCCCTTGGCTATGCGGCTTGACGGGACACAGCTGTGATCTTGATCTTTCCTTCTCTCCAAGATCTCTTCTCAAAATGCAAATAAATGTAATAGTGCTTTTTGTGGAGTATGAATGATTATGCGCCTTTAGAATAATGTAGACTGAGAACTCGAATTGTGCCAATTCTCCAATTTACCGCTGCTTCCGTGTCTTTGTAAATCCTTGATAATGCATGTATATTGCTATCCGACAAGTCACTGTGTTGCCCATTTGCTAATGAATTGGTGTTTAAGGTGGATGCAGTCTCTTGTCATCGGTGGCCTCCAAAGTCACACACGCTGTCACTACGCATTTTCATTTCATCTTGTCGCCATAGTAAGGCAGGCCAGAATTCATTGTTGGCAGCTGAGATGTACAGAGATCATATTAAAACCAGATTTTATGTCTCACTGTTGATTCAGACATTATCCAAAGCCCCACTTTTTTTGGTTTTATGTTACCGTGGTCGCTGGTCGCCTCCCTTTCTCAGTGTCACTAACCAGCTAATCAGTAGGTCAAGGCAATATGATAGACGTCTTTGACGGTTAACAGCGTGCGTGAGTCAACACGGAGAGGTGGCATGACCGACGATGGGTAGTGGACACTGAACGTGCCTGCGTCTGCGGCCGTGTCAGTGAACCGATTCCGTTACGCGTGTATTTGATAACCACTTGACCTTGAACCCAGACTGACACTTCAACCAATCAGATGGGACTGACCGAGTGAGGGGCTATTTTGGGAATGAAAAATTTGGAGAATAGAAGGAGTTCCAGAAGGGAATGTATTTCCGTTTTATAAGACAAAAATTGTATTCGTTGCAGCACTTTTCACAAACATGTTTGGAACAATATCATTTGAGAAACAGTTGACGCTTCGCTTGTTTCAGTGATTTCAGTATAGTGTACCATTAAGGCTATCGTTTAAGCAATATTAGCCCTTCGAGTATTCTTGCACAGACGTGTTGAAGTCATACTGCCTTTAACGTCCATGTAACCATCACCGCGAAATGGATATAAAATGGAAATACGATGGCTGACATGCATAAGATGGTCCTTCTCTGGGTTGGCGCGTGCGTCTAAGTGAGTGCCCACGCAAATGTTAAAAATGACCTTTGCCATAACTGTGCCATTTCTCCAAGAGGTGACATCACAGAAAGTTTACACACCTCGGACACATACGAGAATAAATCCATTTGTTTCGCTTAATCTTCATAGGCCGGAGAGCAGTTAATCAGAAAAGGTGCGCGCAAACTTCAACAACCTGCTCAGTAATGATTCGTCCCATCGGCACACTCCTAACAGTCCCCCACCTCAGCTTTTAGTGCGGCACCAGCTATGACGGGTAGTTTGTTGTTAGGTTTCACTTTGGCTCCCCTTCGATCGCTTTTTGCTTTGATTCCCCGCATTCTTTGCATTTTATTCCAACTTTGTCATTAAATGCTCCTGACTCCTCCTTCAAATAACATTCCAAAAGCTCAGGGTGTTGCATTCCAACTCCTCCCCCATAGCTGTGTGGCTTGCTGGGACACAGTAGTGATCTTAATCTTTCCTTCTCTCCAAGATCTCTTCTCAAAATGCGAATAAATGTACTATTCCTTTTTGTGGAGTATGAAAGATTATGCTCCTTTAAAATGGTGGACACTAGGAAGTCGAGTTGTGCTATTTCTTTAACTCACTATGAACCCGGTCAGCTCGGTTACGCGTACCTGTGATGACCGGCTGACCTTTGGCCTGAAGTGACACTTCAAGTACAACTAACGTGGCCTCAGCCAATCAGGAGGTACTATCCGACTGAGTGAAAGGCTGATTCAAAGATGTGAAAAATTTCAAGGATTTGAAAAGAGAATGCTGTTCTGAGTCTGCATGTCTCCACAGTAAGTTTCTTGTTAAATCATGCGGTAGGAAGAATAGGATTGCTTATGACGGAGGGAATCAGTGCCCGTTGATAAAGTGGTTAAATTTTGCAGCTATATCCACGTCAAATTTGCATCTATGTAAAAAGAACTAGCTCCAAGGATCTTCCTTGTTCACTTAGAATACGTTTTGATTTATAGGTATGTTAACAACAGATAGTCTTAAGTTGGACGTTAAAGTGCTCGCATTCCCAAATTGGCTGCTTCTTAACGCCTCGCGATTGCTCAAGTCTTCTTTGTCCTAAACTGTGGATTTGAGGGCATCCCGTGCCTAAACTCAACCGCGATTGGGATAATGGAAGTCATTTCTCGCAGGGCAGCTTCTCCCAGATAAAAAAGAAGGTTTGCGCTTCTGTGCGTACAGCTCGCTCCAATATCGTGCAATTTTGTGGGGACTTGTAAAATGTAGGAACTTGTTTGTGTGCCTGGTTATGTAGCATAGACGCTCGTCTATCCTCAGGTTCAGTACTTCTGATTACGCTCTCTGCCACATCCCTCTCACCCTAAACGATTATGCCGTATAGCCTCAACGAGCCTGCTGTGGTTGTAGACTAACTCGGTTATCTGTAACTCCCCGTAGTGGTAATGTGCAGCTTGCAAAGGAAGAGTAGAAGCAAAATCCACCTTCTGAAAGTAGCCTAAGGAGATCGGCACTAGAGATGTTTCTTCTTTAGTCGCTTTGTGCTTTGATTATCCTCTGCTATTGCATTTTATTTTATCTTTGCCACTGACTACCTCTACTAATTTTTTTTGAGTAGCTTAGCATTTCTGGTTACAAGAAGCTAACGAAAATCCTCCTGTTTTCTTTTTGAGTGAAGCACGTGTAGGGTGAATGTGAGCAATCGAAAGTTGGCACTGACAACGCTGTCCCTATCGCCTCAGCTTCTACGGCGTTTATGACGATGGCAGGCAAAATAAAGTGGATTTTTCTGTTATCGCGGGAGATGTCATCTACCCGATGACATTTATTGCTTATTGTTGGTCGTCAAGTCATGTATGCCTTGTGTACAATCAGGGATTACCATGGTGTGGTAGTATGGTGGGTAGAGAGTGTGCTGGGCACTTTGTTTCGGTGTGGAAGTAAGATCCGCTCCCTCATAAATCCTTTAGTGAATAATTCGAAGGGTGTCGGGGTGGGAAAACTGATGAGACAAGCACAAATCCTGGGCTAGGTCTGACCCATGTAACTGGCAAAGGACCTCAAACCTTGACATACTGGCTTCTGTCATGCATTTTCTGTGGCTTATGCTACTCACAGGAGAACGGACAGTGTCTGCTCGCTGCAGTCTCAGGAATCATCTTTCTGCTACTTGATTATGCGATCTGCTCCCATAGTTGTCATTCGGTTAATCACCATGCTTTACCTCGTGATGTGTGCAATTTCGATGTGGTGGTTAATCGCACTACAAAGCCATCACGGTGAGTCATAGCACATTAGTCAGGCCAATTTACAAGTCTGTCACAAATTCTAAGCACAGATCTCACCTTCTGCTGCTCCCTAGCCCTTTGAGGTATGGCTAGGCGGCTCTAAAAACCAGCTGTATTTATTGGTTATTCTCACTCATAATGGGAAATTTTGTCTTTCTCTTGTAGACTTTTGATCCTGATAGGTGGAGCACCTGATGTTAAAGGGAAGAAATCATACGATCCGATGGCGAGAGGAGTCTTATCTTGGATTATGCAAAAGTGTTTCTTTCATCACACATATCATGCATGTAAATTTGATCCGCCTTGCTGTGACAACCAGATATTCGATGTCCAAATGATACAATGGCTTAGTCCCCTCTTCTCGGTGCATTGCAGCTGCATTGTTCTTCATGTCTTTTAACTGATGAATGCACAAGGAAAGAAGTCTACAAAACAGCTAATCGCGCCTACCAGGAAGCCTGTTTCACTAGTCTCTCATTATAGTGAGGAAGAAGACAAGGATTGATGTGTCCACTGGAATTGTAGTTGTGTGTGGGGCTATCTTAAGCATGAACAGTGTCTCCTACTACTACAAGTATTTGCTAATTTGTTCATCCTAAATCGCTATCGTGACTATGGCTGTTGCAGTGTCTGGCCATCTTTGCCTTGGTCAAGGTAATTGCTGGACTCATCTGGAGTTATTTGTGACGCAAAACATCTTCCTTCCCACAATTCTCATAACATCTCGAAGCGTTCTTCCACCTTACTCTGATAGACACTAATTCAGTAGTATATTTTGTTACTCTTTCCCTGCCATGTCTAAGACCGTAATTGCTAGTGGTAGATCTGGTGGGTGCCCATGACAGTGAAGTAACTGTCAGGTAAATGTCAGCTTTGGACACAGCCTCTACTTATTTTATACAAGAATGGATTATTAAAGTGAAGGAAGTGGTATGGAATGGGGAAACAGCAAGTAACAAGGTACTGACTGAGTGCATCTGGGTGAGCGTTTGACTCACCAGAGCAATAGAACTGCAAAATAACCCTCCAAAATCAGCAGGAATTTTGGTTGGACATCTAAAAGGGGCAAATGGATTTGTGGGAAAAGTCATCCATCTAGACGAATAAAAGAGACAATTCAAGGTGGAAGTATAAGGCCCTCTCTTTGGGAGCTTTAGTGTTTGGCTGTCAGGTCGAAGATGCAAATGCCGGAAAGAGCAGCGGGGAGTGTCGTTGCAGTGGTTGTCATAATAGGCAACCAAAGTTAGTATGGAACGAAAGAAGAGCTCGTGTATAATTTGAGCTAGGCCACTTCTTGTTATCGGATCTCTTCAACACCAGTGGGATTAAATATCCACAAAACAGCCGCAGGACATTTGATTTGTGGTTCAGAAAATCCAATTTAGTTCTTCCGGTTTCAAGAAACGCCTAGCGAAACCTCAGACAGGTAGAACAATAAAAGGCGGGATCAGTGGTTAAGAATTCTTGAGAAACTTGTAAAGTCGTTAGACTAATGTGCAGTGGTCAAATGTGATGGCTTTGGTGGTGTGATAAAGCATCACGTCAAGCTTACACAATCAGCCTGTGCATTGCCCGTCATCTTCGCCGTTACCTCGATAGTTGGGCTCCTCTAATTTATGGATTTGAACCAGAATTAGTCGCCCTGCATTGCAACAGCTGCAATGACACTCACCACTGCACTTCTTGTCATTCTCATCTTTGATCTGACAGCCAAACAGTGAACTGCCTCAAAACCTCTTTATTACGCGTTGTCTTTTCTGCTCAATCTTGTTGTGATAGTAATCTGTAGGGAAGTCTGTATGATCTTTTGAGGTAGTCAAATAAAAGTCTTGTTAATGTCGATGGGTTACTTAGCAGTTCTACTACCTTATTAGGTAGCACAGTAGCTTGGTTGCACGTTGGCGGTCATTTGTCACTTGCATTTCATCTGGTTTATTTCACCTCCATTACTCTCATCTACCAGCCTTATATAAACTAAGCAGAGGTTATAATACTTGGCACGCTTTCCATTCCTCACCATTTGAGGCTCAAAAGCGAGTTGTGCCAAAACTGCCCTGCCAGAGAGTATGGCCAGCGCCCCCTCAATGCTGAGAGGGACAGGATGACTCCACGTTTGTGGAGAAGCCGGCCTTTTGAGTAGACGTGTGTGGTAGACAAATAGCTTTGAGGTCAGATGTACCCGGAGACCTAACAAACCTGACTCCTCTGTGCAATTTTGTGGGTGGTGGGGAGCAAAGATGAAATTGTGGCATTATTTTCGGAGATGTCGTGGCCACCGTGGTGTGCAATTTCACCAGTCATTGGATAAGCCCTAGGACGCCTTCGTAGTGGAGTGAGGGCTCCAGTTTGATAGATATGGATATTCTATTGATTCATACATTCATCCACACATCAATTTATCCAATCCGGATTCATCCCACCATCTATATCTCCATTCACTATCCATCTATCTATTAATCTCATCTCCCCAGAATCCATCCATTTCCTACGCATCTCTCCATTCACCCCTCCCCCCATCGTCATACCTGCCTATTACTAAATCTCCCTAGATGACTATCTTTCCAAATATTTCTACCTGTTTGCTAATCAATCATTCTTCCCATCTGTCTACTTACATATCTACGGATTATCTACTTCCTAGTGCACTGAACCACTCCCTTATTTTCCAACACCTTCATGCATAAGGCTGGGAGTCTTTTTCTGAAGTCACCAGGTGTCCAGATGCAAGAGCACACTTTGGGGGCATAGAGATACAGCAACAAGAAGGCTTTAACAACATTAAGTTGCTTTCAGTGATTGTAACAATTAGGTAGTTGTCACATAAGTATCATATGTGAGCAGAGCCACTGGTTAATTTGCACTAGGCTGGCTGTCATAATTCTTTAAGGAAAAATACATAGTTACCAATTCGAAGAAGTGAATGCAAGACAGAGCAGTCGTGAGTGTCATTGCAACAGTGGCAATGAGAGGTGACGAAAGTGTGAGAAATTTTGCAAAGTAGCAGACCCCGGCGATTGAGAGAACGGCTGAGATGACTGCCAGTACACATGCTGCAATCGCACTCCAGAAGTGGTCAAAAACTATTAGGACTACGAGAAGGATGCCTGTGAGGAAAATAACCAGGCCGGCTGTCAAGAGGAGAACACCTGTCAGCCTAAGAGATTTAGCGCGAAGACAATCACCACTTAGAATGCTGCTCCCACACTGCCATCCATCATAGCCAATGGCGAGGAAAAACAACAATGCTGCCACAAGTGTACAGATTAGGTACCACATCCTCCGATCCATGGGTCTTACGTTCTCCTCCTCGTGCTTCTTCTCCTTATGCTCTCTCGCCCCATCTGTCACGTTTAATACTCACACAGAGTTCAATTTCGTCATACAGCACGTGTCAGGTTCTGGTGATGTGCCATAACCAAGAAAAGGTAAAAATTCACTCCCTATCTTTGCCGGGGTAGGTCTTCTTCTGTCAGGGAAACAGTGCTTTTATATAAAAGAAGTAAAAATAAAGCAAGAGCTCTCAAATCATAAGCGGGACTTTGGGGCTTATGTCCTGAAAAGCATTACAGCAATTGTAGCAAATGTTGCCCTATGTTCCACGTGTATGTGAACGTCGCGGACAAATTCGGTCTCTAGTCCAAATACTGTAGAGCAGAGTGGCGGTGGTGATGTCCGATAACTTACAACCTTCACCTGCTGAGGAGTGAACAGTCAATAGCAGACAGTTAGAGAGGATTTCGCTAATCGAGGGCATCATACACACACACACACCAGAGAAGTCTTTCCACCGCAACGATGGATACAATCTTTTTGACTGCACGCTTTCGTAAAGTTGGAAGAAAATGAAACAGGATCTTTCAATGAAATCATTAAGAGATTAGAAGGCAACCAACAAACTGCATGTCTCTGCAGGCATTGAACCGAAGGACAAGTGCTTAAATTTACTCGTGTATTGACCTCTTAGCTTTCTTGACAACGGAGAGCTCAGCGATTGAGGTGGGTGGAGTAGAAATAACAGTAGAGAATGAGAGATGAGTAGTTGGAATGCTCAAGAAACCTGCAATATTACCTAATAATGTGCAATGACTCAAAGTAATGGCTTTAGTGGTATGGAAAACCACCACTTCAAGGTTGCACACATCATGAGGTGCAACAGAGTGAGTGACCGATTGACAGCTCTGGGAGGAGATTGCCTAATCAGCCAGTAAAGGTGATATGTGAGACTGCAGCGAGAACACACTCACATTCTTCTGTGCGTGCCGTAATTCACCAAATAAGGAAGGCGATATGGCGATTTACTAGGTTAGTTGCCAGATTTATGAGTCAGCCGTAGCCAAAAATTTGGGCATGTTTCGCCAATCGGCTTACGAGGAGATCTTTCGAATTATTCAATTAGGAACTGCCCTAGGAGCAAATTTCGAACCCACGGCAGAACAAAACACTCAAAACGTTCTTCGTTCATGAAACTACCACATTGTGGTAATCCCTAATTGGCCTCACCACAAGTGTGACTTGACGACCAAAAATCAGCAGTAAATTTCGCCGAGTAGCTGATATACTCCGAGATAAGGCTAAAAAATACCTTTTATTCGGCTGCCACCGTCATAACCTCTTAAAAGCGGAAGCGATATGTACAACGCTATCAGTGCCAACTTTCCTTTGCTCATATTCATGCCAAACAGACTTAATTCTAAAAGAAAACGGAAGGATTCTCATTAGTCTCTTTTATCCAAAGAAGGCGAGCTACTAATATGAAATTAGTAGCGGTAACAGTGGCAAAGTTACCAAAGCGGGTACAAAACGCATTAAAGGAGGAAAGTGGAGTCAAACTGAGTTTAGTCAAGTAACTGCTCGTCTTAGCAGGCTTGCAACAAGCAACAAGTCCTTGGAGAGGGGCATCTTTTGAACGTTTGACTTGCAAATGGAGCACCTTTTCAGATGAACCGATCAACCTGCCACCGCAGACACCGGCTTCCGAAGACCAAGTAAAATAGAACAAATTTCTTTCACCAATATTTTGTTTCTAGTCTGGCCAAGATCTGAAGGATCCCGATCGTCTCTCATGTCATCTTTTGGGGCTGCGATTCAGTTAAATCAGAGGTCCAACTCACCATTCCATTCGTCCCTTACTTCAAACATATGCCGGCTACAGTTCTCTCAGTTTACTGCAGTTTCTCATGCACGGCCAGATGGCGACAAAAGCATGAGGTCTTCAACAACTCGATGCAAGAGCATTCGAATGGCTATTATTGTTTAGGGGAGAGTATTAGCGTTTCACGGAATCCCACAGCTATTAATTCTCCTATTGCCTATCTATTTAACTAAGCTCTAGCGTCAAAATATTCACAGCAATAACTTCTGAAACAGACCAGGTACTGAATATTAACCATATAATCTTGTTTTAAACAAGATTCAAATGATACGTTTAATTGGAATAAATAAAACCACATAGGGCAATAAATGTGCTCAGTATTGGATGTTCTTTAATTTATACTTTAAACAAGATTAAGCTCATGGTATCCACTGCCTGCATGCTAGGAAAAAGCTTCTACAGATCCACTTTACCTTCAAGGTGACAACTAACAAAAGTGCAGAAAATTGTTTATAGTAAGAAATTGAACCAAACAAGAAGAGTGGCAGAAGTGAGCAGCATCTTCATCAGTGCTACTTCAAACGTGTTGCACAAGACTGCAGCAAACCGCAGTCCATGTTTGAAGTGACATTTCTAAGGACCTACGAATAGGCCTGAGTCGGGTTAAAACGCTCATGTATATTACCCTAATATTTGCAGCTATTAGACCTGCATAAGCACCAAGAATTTGTATAAACGCAGAAAATTCACTTCCAATAGGAAGTGTGCAATATTATTCAACCACAATCAAGCAAAGATGCACGAAGCTTAAGCATTCCAGTTACACACACGACTTCGTGGAGCAGATCCTAAGAAGAGGTAATGAGGAGGCATTTCAGAAACGCCAAGAATGGGGGGTCGATCATGCAATGTAGCGCCATTTTCATGTTTTAAAAGTTGAGAAATTGTGATGTTACAATTCAACCTAGATTTCATGGTAGAAGTAACGAGAAGGAAAGTCG